CTCTGTCTTTCTGTCTCACTCCCATCAATGCTGGGAGAGCACAAGAGGAGGCAGGTAAATTTTATGAAGTGAGACGCTGAGGCATGGCTCAGTGAATATAGAAGTGATGTATTCAGAGACTCTTATGTAGAGTTTACCCCATCTGAACAAGCATTTGGGAATTTTGCCTTTCCCTAATGGATGGAGTTGTTTAACAAGGATAGGAACTCAGCGTATATGCTTTCTCCTTTGCCCCTGGGATGGAAGGAAGGAGTAGCGGGCACATGCCCAGGGAAGAACCAAGCAGGGGGGTCACTAGACTCATTTGGACCATCCCAGGCTCCAGGATAAATGGCCCTTCCCTTCTACTCCCATGCGTACTCCTTCCCTGGGCAGGCTCTCTGGCTCCTACGAAGACTTGCAGCATGGACAGGTGTCTGAAGCACTCGTGGACTTCACTGGAGGGGTGACGATGACCATCAAACCGGCAGAAGCCCCCAGCAACCTCTGGGACATCCTAACCCGAGCCACCTACAGCAGAACCCTCATTGGCTGCCAGACCCACTCAGGGGTGCGACTGGGCTGTGTACCAGCAGCGTGTCCTCCCTGCTCCCGTCCCCTTCCTCCACCAGCTTCTGCTCTCACCTCGGGGCGGGCCCCAAGACCCCCCTCTAGATCTTGCTCCTAGAGTCCTGCTGCTCAAACCCGAGCAGCCAAGCTGAGCCCTGGGGGCCGGCGAGGCCACAGTCGAATGCAGATGGTGTGCAGACAAGCAAGCTAACAGTGACTAAGTGTCAACCAGGTGCAAGGTGCTTTACTAGCATAACGTGTCTTTACTGCGTAATTTAGTAACAACCAAGAACGTGGGACTAGAGTAGGGAGCCCTGGGTTCAGCCCTGCCTCTGCGAGCGACCACCACGTCACCCCATGTGATGGTTTAGCAGCTCTGAATCTGAGTTTGTCCTCTGTCCAATGGGACGGGAATCCCTGCAGAACGGCATCCTGACTTAGAGGCTCCAATGAGACTGTGGATGCTGAAGAGCTTTGACAACTGTGAGGGCATAGCTCGGTCTCTCCCACCCTCCCCATAAGCCCTTGCTCTAGCCACGCAGGTCCCCATGCCCCCCGCCCCCCCCACCCTGCCCTCAGTAAGCTGTATACAGCAGCGGGCTGACAGGAGCTCTCTTGTGTCCACAGAAGGAAAGGGTGCTGGAGAATGGGCTGGTGGGCGGCCATGCCTATACCCTGACAGGAATCAGGAAGGTGGGTGGAACCAGCCCCTCTGTTTCCCGTTGGGCTCCTCCTTCTCTCTCAGGGCTTCTCCCAAGGCTTGGGTGAACACTACTTGCTGGGCCCAGTCTAGGGGGCAAATTCTTTGCCGGGTTTTATAGGTCCTGCCAAAGCAGGTGGTGGGTTCCTGCACCAGTACGCCTGTGTTCTGGAGTGCTGTGGTGGGTCCAGCCTAGCCTGGGCCACCTGCAGGGCACCATCCCAGCCCCTCCTGCCCTGGGGCAGCCCTGCCAATCAGCCACCCAGCCTGCTGGGCCTCACCGCCCTTCCTCGAGGCCCCCTCTGCTCGGGGCCTGCCACTGCCCATGGCCTTCACATCTGGGGCTTCCTGCCCAAATTCCCACTTCTTTCTCACACACTCCTTTTCATCAGCCTCCCGGGTTCTTTCCATGGCTCTTCATCTTTTGAGCTGTGCTAAGCATTGAGGGAAAGCTGAATCAGACAGGGACCCTGCCTACACAGAGCTCACAGTCAGGGATGGAGAACCATAGGTAAGAATGGTAAGGAAGCAAAGCAGAAAGCGGAGAGAAGAAAAAATAGGTGAAAGGCTTTAGGGGCTCAGAGGTAGGAGAGAACACATTTGCCTGATTGGGTTGGGGAAAGTCAGGAAAGGCTTCGTAGAGGAGGTGGCATTGAGCTGGCCCTGGAAATGGCAGTAGATGTGTCTGAGGGAAAGGGGCACTCCTGGTGGACGGGGCTGCACGGAGAAGCATGGGTCCATCTTACAGAGCCTCCGATGTCCTCTAGACAGGCTGATGTGCCCAAGTCCTCCAATTCCCTTTTACTCTTTCAGATTTCTTGACCTCAGCTCCCACCTGACTTCCTCCTCCTCCTCCCAGATCTACATCAGTCATGTTTGTGTGTGTGTCAAGAGCTTTTCATGAATTCTCATATTTCTTTAACAAAACTTAGATTTTATTAATAGAGTTACATGTTTATGTCCATATTTGTTGTATATTTATTTAACATAATTAGCAAAACTTAGCACTTACTGTGTGCTAAGTCTTGTTCCAACTCCTTCACAAATGTTAACTCAATCCTCAACACACCCCTGCGAGGGGGTGTATTAGCGTCCTGTCGTAACAAATTACCACAAACTGAAGGGCTTCAGACAACGGAAATTTATTCTTTCACAGTTCCAGAGGCCAGAAATCTGAAATCAAGCTGTCATGACGGTCTCTGCAGGTTCTGGGGGGGATCCTTCACTGCCTCTTCCAGCTTATGGCGGGTCCCAGCATTCCTTAGCTAGGGATGGAGAGCTCCAATCTCTTCCTCCATCTCCGTGTGGCCTTCTCCCTCCCTTCCTTTCCCTTCTCTTATCACTGGGTTTAGGACCCACCCTAATCCAGGGTGATTTCTTTTCTTTTTAAGATTTTATTTATTTATTTGAGAGAGAGGAGAGAGTGAGCCAGAGAGCACAAGCAGCGGGGTCAGGGTGGGGGTGGGGGGTTGCGGCAGAGGGAGGGTGAGAAGCAGGCTCCCTGCTGAGCAGGGAGCTCGACCACGGGGCTCGATCCCAGGACCTGAGCCAAAGGCAGACGCTGAACCGACTGAACCACCCAGGCACCCCTTCAGGGTGATTTCATCTCAAGTTCCTTAATTTTATTATACCTGCAAAGACCCTTTTAATAAGTAGGATCACACTGGGGCGCCTGGGTGGCACAGCTGGTTAAACATCTGACTCTTGGTTTCAGCTCAGGTCGTGATCTCAGGGTCGTGGGATCGAGCCCCGTGTCGGGCTCTATACTCAGCTGGGAGTCTGCTTGGGTCTCTCTCTCCCTCTCCCTCTGCCCCTCCCCGCTGTGCTCTCTTTCTCTCTCTCTCTCACTGAAACAAATAAATCAATCTTTAAAAATGAATAAATAAATAGAGAATCACATTGACAGATTTTGGGTAGATTTATCTTTGGGGGGCCACCCTTCAACCTGTTACAGCAGATGTAGCTATTAACTTCACTTTCCAGATGAGGAAACAGACCCAGAGAAGGGAAGTAAGTTGTGCTAGGTCTCAGCAGCTCTAAGAGGCAGAACCACTTTCTCTTCTCCCCACGCTCAGGGCCTTTGGTCTTCCACTTCAAGGTCTCATCTGGCAGGCACGGATCTCACCCAGATGGCTGCAACATTTGCATTTGGCACTCAGCCCAGCCACCTAAATTGCTTCTCGTTTTGCGCAGGTGACCTGCAAACATGGACCAGAATATCTAGTCAAGCTGCGGAACCCCTGGGGCAAAGTGGAATGGAAAGGAGACTGGAGTGACAGGTGAATGCCCGGAACGGGCTGGCAGGGGTGAGGACGGGGCAGGGCAAGCCTGTGAAGGAGGCTGCTGTCTGCACACAAATTCAAAAGTGTTCTTTGGTCTCCAGCTGGATCGGGAGAGTGTTCTGGTTGTGAAGGTCAATTGCTCACATTTATGTGATGCTTAATGACATATAGACGGTTTTCTCATTCATTATAATAATTGAGCTAATGTTTATTGAGAGCTTGCCAGCACTGTGCTAAGCATTTTGAATTTATTTTTCCTGCCCTTATTTATTTAAAAGTAAAAATTACCTTGACTTCGAATGTGCAGAGACCTTCCTTAGGAGCAGTCTGGCATATTTCCTTCAAGCACTTCGAATATTTATTATCTCTAATCCTCTGAACAGTGCTCTTACTAGGTAGGGAGTTTTATCTCCATTTTACTGATGGAGAAACTGATGCTTAGTAAGCAAATTACTTAAAGGTCTTTGGAGTCGAATCCAGTGTTCTTTCCCGGGCACGGTTCAGTGTGCTCTTGGGCCCGTTGAGTCAGAGGTAGACAGATCCAGATTGGCCCCGACCTTCTGGTTCCATGTCGTGACCTCCGGGAACTCTGCTGAGATCAGAATGCGATTCCCTGGGTCACCTTCCAGGGATTTAGTTTTGGGCAGGAGTCTGGGCGACGTGAGGGCTCACCTCATTTGCTCCTCCCAAAGGCCCCCGGGTCATAACCCTGAGCTGCCTGCTGTCTAGCATCTGAAAACAATTGTTTTTTATATTTTTAGTTGTTTATGGTGGAGAAGTAATGCAGGAAAGCCTTACTCCCTCGTGGTCCGACATAGAAGTTCAAAATGACAGGCTTGAAAATACATAGTACCAACGTAGGTTCAGATGCGCTCGGACATTTCATAACTTTGTGACTTCAGGACAGTGACTTAGTCTCTTTTAACCTCTGTTTCCCAATCTCTAAAATGGCAACAAAAATCTCTGCCTTGCAAAATTGTTGTTAGCCTTAGGTGAGATCAAGTATGTGAGGGGCCCGGCCCAGAGCTTGGCGCCCAGTGAGGGATGAGTTACTGTCACATGTTGTTTTTAGAAGATGGGATGTGAGATTTAGTTGTTTGCAAAGCAGCATGAAGAGGAGAGAAATAATGACACTCTCGAGCATTTACCCCATGTCCTCCACAATCCTTCATTCCCCACGGAAACACCCCCTTTTCTGTTTTCAGCTCAAGTATGTGGGAGCTACTGAGCCCCAAGGAGAAGATTCTACTGCTGAGAAAAAGTGATGATGGAGAATTCTGGTATCTGACCTGGGGACTTGGGAAAAATGCCCTGGCTTACATTTGGACAACCAGCCTGCAAATATTTACTGGGAGCCACACATATGCCAGGCACCTCGTGTGCAGAGATCGTGAAACCCTGATAGGGGCCCACAGCCCCTGCAAACGGTCATGGTCCCTATGATGAGTGCGGTGATTGCTGACATGGCGCTCGGTGGACACTGGGTGCAGAGCATGGGGGTGGCCGCCTCCTTCTCCCCGACTTCCTCCCAGTCTCTTGTATCACTCAAAACACTCAAACCCAAGGTTTTGTCTTTCCTGGCCTGAAAGGGAGATGAGGAAAGAAGCCATAACTATAAACTCTAAGCCACCTCAGAGCAACATGGCATGACTCCCACCCACCCCAAAGCCACTCACCCCTTTTATGAAAAGCCACCAAGACGCCTTGAGCTGATGCTGTTTCTGGGTGTCTGAGGCGAGCCCCATCTGCTCCCCTTTCCCTTCGCTTTTGGTCCTTACTATTAACCTCCACCCTTGTTCCCATGGGCCACTCTTCCCCCATTCTGTACTCTTTCTAGACTGCTGTGACCCCTCTCTCTTTGGAAGTGGGGTCCGGCACTGAACTCAACAGCCTGAAACTACTATTAATTTCCACTTTACAGATAAGTAAACTGAGCATCAGCCAGTGCAGATAGCATGCCTTGGGTCGCAAAGTGAGTAGGGGCTAAGACTTTTATCAATGAATAGTTGAGAACCGACTTGTGCAATTATTCTTGAACATTTGTATCTCAATTGGCTAGCTAGGAATGCCTCAGTTCAGCTTTATCATCGCAATCAGCAAAGCAAGAACATTTTCCCCAGGCACGCTTTGCAGGAAGCTGCTTCCAGGGACGGGCTGGGGGTGGGGGTGGGGTTTCTCGATGGCCCACCTCCCCTGATGCCTCCTCACACTCACTAGCCAGCGCCACTCTCCCGTGTCCCAGGCCAGCTCAGCGGGACAGAAGGGCGAGGTCATGGGGCTGGGGCTGGTGGGGCTAGTGGGGCTGCTTGATTCCAGCCCCCACTTTCGTCCTGATGAGTAGACATTGTGCTGTGCCCCCTTCCTCTCCACAGGATGACACTGAGGGACTTTAAAGCACATTTCATGCTTCTGGTCATTTGTAAACTGATCCCAGGCCTGCTGAGTCAGGAGGTGGGCCGGAGGTGGGCATGCACCATGCAAGAGGGGAAGTGGGAGAAGGGGAGCACGGCTGGTGGCCGGATGAAGTCGCCCCGAGGTAAGCACGTGCACAGGAACTGGGGCTCTTGGGGCTAGAGTAGCAGCTTTGCCAGCAAGGGTGGGGATGCAGGCACACTGTGGGTGGTGGTGGGGCCTGCGCCCTGCACGGGGCCTCTGGCTGAGTGTGAGGGATTTTGCTGGTTGAGCCGTGTGCTCTGGCCCTGGGCCGTGTCCTCCTCAGCCCCAAGAAGCCACAGGCACACATGCATGGTAGAAGTGGGGGTTCAGTCTTTGGTTTTAGGACAAGGCCATTTCTATGCTGAAATAACCACCCCTTAAAGGCAGGCTTGAAATAGTAATTTTATCCTATGTATCAGGCCCTCCTTGCCTGGAGGTCGGTGGTGAAACAAAATCAAGGACTCTCAGCTCACCACTTACAGGAGACAAATGTGTCTGAATTCTCAAAGTGGAGAGCTTTGGTCACTGTGTCCCTTTCTCCACAATGGAGGTGCTGAGCCATCTCTTTGGAAGGAAAGACCTGTAGGATATGATCTCAGTGGGCCAGGTGCCCTTGGCTCTGGCTTCCCCCTCTCACCACAGAGGTTCCCCCAGAGGCTGAAGCTTGGTCCCTGTTAAAATGCAAACCTCCCTGGGATCATGGACCTGTTCTCCTCGGTTAGTTAATACAGTTCCTTACTCAGGCAGTCAGTGCTTATGGGGCACAAAGTCTGTGCCAGGAACCATGCTGCACAAAGGGGCTACAGTGATGAGAAGAGCTCTCGGTCTATGTGTCTGTAGGACACGGGGTGGAAGGGGTGGGATTGGAGGGGAGAGAGAGGGGAGGCTGAGAACCCCCACTCTGTCCAGATGGACCTTGGGGTGGGAATCTCAGGGCAGGTGCCCTGGGTCTGTGGGAGTGTAAAGTTAAGGACCTGGGGGACTGGCTCACCTCACTTCGCTCTGCTCCAGACACATTCTGGAAGAACCCACAGTTTCTGCTGTGTGTCTGGAGCCCTCAGGAGGGCAGGAGTTTCCCGATGCCCTGCAGCGTGCTGGTGTCCCTGCTCCAGAAGCCCAGGCACAGGCACCGCAACCGGAAGCCTCACCTCGCCATCGGCTTCTACCTCTTTAGGGTGAGTGGGCCTCCAGGGCCCGCGGCCTCGTGGGGCATCTCCCACCACTGGGCATCCTTCCTCCCTGTTTCCAGTCCTCTTCACCATCTGTCTCTGTCTACACGCAGACTTGGGTGCAGACCTTGGCTCTGTCCCTTGGGAATATGTGACCTAGAACACATCACCTGCTGGCCCTTGAGCATCAGCTTCCTCATCTGTAGAGTGGGGACACTGATATTTACGCAAAGGGTAGACCAGAAGCACACCGCATGCCAGTGCTCCTCGTGGGGCCCGGCACGCAGTTCATACAATCAAGACCGCTGTTCGTTTCCTCTCCCAAAAAGTCAAGGTTGCCTTCCATCACCCTTTTCCAGAATTCCTGATGATGAATTAAAATGTCACTGACTAGAACAGCAAGTCTTATGGGAGAGACAGGGGCCCTTGGGGGGGGAGCCTTCTTACATATCAGCCTCCGTTTGTTTGTGCTTGTGGAAGAGTTGCATTCCCTGCCTAATGAGGCCTCTCTTTTTTCTGCTTTTCAGTTGAGCAAGGTGAGTGCCACACTTGACCAGCTGGCCCTGGTTTGGAGTGATGTCACATGTGGGGTTCAGCTTGACTGTAGCAGCCTTACGTGAGGAATCGTGAGCATGTCCGGCAACAGTGCTGAAGGGATGGGCGCTTGCCGTTCTTTTTACCCAAGGACCCTGAGAAATCCTTCTGCCTCTTTGGGGGGGTCTCTGAGCCTGGTGTAGAACCAATACATGTTAGAATTTATTAAATCCCTGTGTGAATACCTAGCACTGATATTGAGGACCATCCTGGCGTCCAAAGAACGGTAAATCACAGTCTTAGAGCCTGAGTTATGAAGCCCATAGTAAAACAGATCTGTAACATATGGGACATGAGGAGACCATGCAGCCCCCCTCCTTAGGGACAAGGGAAAAAGGCTTGGGAAAATGGGACAGAAACACAGGCAGGGGACAGGAGCAAGTGTGGCTCTCATGTGCAGTGGGAGCCTAGAAGAGCAGCTGAGAAGGTTGGAGGGACCCCAACCTCTGCGAGCGTGGAGGCTATTATTTTGTTTCCCAAAGTAAACAGAAGTGGAAAACTGCATTTTCTCAAATTAGACTGAATCGAGTAAAAGGGTTTTTGTAAAAGAAACTATTTCTGTATTAGGTGTCTTGGGTCAGTTTTGGATTTTTTTCCTCCTGTAGGAACACTGAAGGCTCCCAAAGTTTCCCATAATTTTTTTTTAAGTTATTTATATCATGCATATTTCTAAATAGAATTTGGGTCAGCCTACAATAAAACTGTAAACAGAACAAAACTATAAGCCAGTTAAAAATTTAAAGGGCAAGGAAAAAGTCATATATGGATAAGGTAAGCAGTTGAGTCCACAGGGAACGCTAAACCTAGGACAGCTAATATGGCTGACTATAAAATTTAGTTCTGAGATTCCCAGTAGCCAAGGCAAAAATGGCAACAGGATGAGTCTCTAGTTCTTATTGTCTGATAAAAGAAAGCATGCATCATCAGGAGATACATTTTATTTCCTTAGCCTTGAGTGGAACCTGTGAAATGTTTTTATGTAAATGGGTAATGTCTTTGTTATCTATGTATAAACTGGAGTGAAGAACCAGCACATGGTCCTCTTCTCCCTCTACAACCCTTGAGTGAGAGCAAAGGGGAAAGGCAGCAAGAGAGAAAGATAGGGAAATAAAGGAGGGAGAAAGGAGAGAGAGAAAGAGAGAAAATAAGAGAGGGGGGGAGAGAGAGAGAGAATATGAGATAAAACAAAAACACATGCCCAGGCAATGTGAGAAGCAGAGCCTGATTCAGGTCTTCTGAACTTTTGTCCAGGTCTCTTTCCCCTTCACTGAGATGATGTAGAATGTCTAGTTTATCTGTACGTAGCTGTTTTACTGTAGGTGGGGAGAGGTTTGGTGGTCCACCAGTATCTGTGACCATAGTCATGTCATAATCAACCTTGAAATTGCATCACGTACTTGGAGGCAGCATCAGGGAGTGTAAAAGACATGGACTTTGGAGCTCAGCTGCCCTGCATTCCAACGCTGGCTGGGACTCTTACCAGCTAGGTGACCTTGGGCACATGACCTAACTTGTCTGAGCCTCAGACCCTTAACCGTAAAATGGAAAGTGCGGACACAGTGGCATTTCTCACGTCGGTTGTATACAGCATTGTTTTTAATGTAAAGTTAAATGGATTGACATGTGGTTCATCAGCCCCACATGGGATTCCAGCAGTGGTGCTCATTCCTGACATGTTGTGTTTTATCCTCTCCACTCCTCACCCCTTTATCCTTCCACTGGAGCAGGTTGGGTTTGGCTAATCAGAGACCACCTTCATCCTGTCTCCTGGCCAAGGACCCCAGGGCTGGCTACAAGCCCTGGGTATCATCTTAACTGGGGCTCTTCCATCCTCCACCCGCAGTACTATGGTGACCAGAGGAGACTGCCTCCTGAGTTCTTCTGGAAAAATGCTCCCCTAAGTTGGCCTGAAGCATTTCTCACAGAGAAAGAAGTGAGTCGGGAGCTGCAGCTGGAGCCAGGGACATACCTCATTGTGCCCTGCACCTCTGAGGCTGGCCGGGAGTCAGAGTTTCTCCTGAGGGTCTTCTCTAGGAAGCACATCTTTCAGTAAGGACACAGGACTCCCCTGGAGGTTGGGGTCCCCTCGGGCCAGGGGAGGTATGGAGGAGGAGGTGGAAATGGCAGAGGATGGGGTCTGTGTGGCCAACACAGGAGAGGGGTAGGGAGAGCAGGGAGCTCCCTGCATGGAGAGCACCCTTCCTTTCTTCCTCCCCACTCTGCTAAGAAATGAACAGTCTGCTAGACATTCAAGAGAAAAAACTAGACTAGGCCTGGCCCCTGCCCTCCAGAAGCTCAAGGCCTGGAAAGGACAGGGACGTATGAGCAGTGATTTATGCTATACTATGTCCAGTGCAAGCATTTATCTACACAGGGTGTTAGCAGAACATCAAGGAGGAGCATCTGAGCCAACCTCCCATGGTCCTGGGGGAAGCAGGGGTGGCTTTGGGGAGGTGTTAATTTCTAGGAGCTGCATAGGGATTGTGCACATGAGGGGAGGCTGTCATCAATAAGCAGGCTCAGATCCATAAGTGTGTGCAAGTGAATCAATAGACATACATCCCAGCCCAACTTCTTCTGCTGCTTATGATTGTTTTGACACGACAGCCCTTCAGTGCTTAGAACCCAGTTCTCTTTCTTTTTTATTTCATGGTTTGGCCCTATGTAGTCTGACTTGGCCTCGAGCCTCACTGCCTGTCCATGCTGATAGTATATATGAGTAGGAGTCGTTTGGTGTAGGTGGAGACAGTGAAAGGCATGCCCGGCGTGGAGATGAGCAACAGCCCGGGGGCATGTGGGGAGCAGTGTGTGGGGCCACGTGGCTGGACTGTCCATTCCAAGGAGAAGCGGGGGGAAAGGCGTGAGAGTGGGGCGAGCCCACATGGCAAATCAGCTAAAGGACTTGGAAGATGTGTTCCCAGGGGAGGGGGAATATTGGCCAAAATGCTCTCAGGAAGTAATTCTGCCTTTTGTTTTCCCTCAGTGAAATTGGCTGCAGCGTCAGTGCTGTCTTCTCTAAGGTGCGTAGGCAGGTGGCATTCCACACGCTGGGACCGTTTCCAAAGGACGGTGGGCTGTTCCCTCGCGTTCATGTGTCGGGGGAAGAAGTCTGCAGATCCTGAGGACCCTACTCTATGGCACCCATACTCTGTTTTCTTTTGTGCCCTAAGAGTCCCTAGTTCTGCTGTTTTTACACCAGGAGAACTGCCTTTCTGGTCAGGTCCTTGTCATGGAGGGCCCAGAGTGCCCGGTACAGGAGTTATACATCGACTTGCTTCTGTTTCTTTCTACCTGGTGTTTCTTTTACCCATTGCACTGTTTGCTACTTCTCCAAAGCCAGTGAGAATTGGAGAAACAAAAGATGTGTGAATGCTGTGGTAGAAAACTTAAGACGGTGCTCAAGGTGCAACTTACAGATTTCTGGGGCTTGGGGGTCATGAGACATTAGTGTGTGCCTGAGCATCCATTCATCCAGGTGAATGATGAGGTCTTTCCATGTGTCTGTTCCTCTAGGAAATAGTGGACCAAAATGAAGGGCAGGATGAATTCTTCACTAAACTCTTTGAGAAGGTAAGTTGGCCAGGGGTGGTGGCGAGCAGAGGGCAGAGTGGGGGACAAAGTGGAACATAGAATTCCATGGAGGATGTGTTTGCAGCTGCCTGACCCTGGTACAAAGTGTGACGTAAGGCTCCTGTTCCCCAAACTGCCACTTTATATTCAAGTCCTCAGGTTTTTAGACAAGTAAGTGGAAGTGGATTGTCTTCAGAAGGCTCCTGTAAAATGCATATCTGTTCTTGGAAGTGACTTTGATTAGTTGTAGGAGAAACAGCTTTAATCTTTGATCCCTGAGAAAATGGAATATAGAGTTTAGAATCCGTGTTGGCAGTGGGTGCAGAGCATGGTAATGACAAGCCCCAGGGGCCTGGGGGAGACCAAGGAGGAAGACCCCTTGGGGTGGTCACCTAGAGAAGGGATAGGGCTGGGAAGAGGGCATTAGGGAAGAGGAGGGCCTAGGGCTGCATACCTGGTCCCCTTGTGGCCTTTCCTTAAGCTGACCCAGATCAGGAGGCCAGTGGTGTGAGGTAGGGCTCTGGAGGCCACTCTGTCCCTAAGCTGCAGGACACTAGATCCGTTGAGGAATAAGACACAAATACACTAGAAATCTGGCATCTGACAGCTTAGTGATGTCATTAAAACTACAAGGGATGAGCTCCTTGTGTTGGCGACTCTCTGGATTTAATTCACAATGTGCCTGCCCCCTAGTCTTCTCTCATATTCACCCCTGGCATTTTGCCTAATGTAGCCAGAGAGGATAGTCAGAATCTTACCTGTGTTGTTCATAAATGTTTTCCTCCACACCAGGGGTTTCCAAACAGTTTCTGTTGCAGTCCTTTTATCAAATGGAATCTCATTGAGAACCCCAATATATATAAAACAGATAAAAATGATATATTATGAATACGTATCTGTTTTATAAGCTCACATTGATGATACTTACATTTCATTTATATTTTTTAAGGTTAATTTTTTTTTTTAAGATTTTATTTATTTGAGAGAGAGTAAGCACAAGCAGAGGGAGAGGGAGAAGCCGGCTCCCTGCTGAGCAGGGAGCCTGATACGGGGCTCAATCCCAGGACCCCAGGATCACGACCTGAGCCGAAGGCAGACGCTTAACCAACTGAGCCCCCCAGGTGCCCCTTTAAAGTTAAATGTTAATGTAAAGGGTTGCTTCTGATAAACTCTAAAATTAAAACTTGGAGCCTTGGCTGAAGATTGCTTATTAAGAATAAAATTCAAACCAAATTGTTTGCTGAACTCCTGAAGCATCTTGATGAAACTCAGTTTGACAAACACCATTATTAGACTGTTTCTTATGAGTCCTGTCCTGCTGGGGTTCCCTGGACTTGACACCCGGGCTCACTTACTCTGCCCAGAAGTGGCATATGTTCCGTGCTGAGCAGGTGTGGGGGTGACTTCCCAGCTCTCTTCTCCCGCAGCCCCTCTGCATCTAATGAACCTTCGGTAATGATAATTTTCTCCTGCTACTCTGCTCCCACTTCAGTATCCAGAAATAAATGCAGTGCAGCTGCAGAAGATCCTGAACCACATGACCTGGTCAAGTGAGTATTTCGGAGTCATCCTGTAGGACTCAAGGGGCACGGCTCTTCTAAACTCCGGGTCTACTCTCTTTCCCCTGTGGGACACGTGAATTCCTGCACGAGGGTCCCCTAAGCAGCGGTGTCTTACACCAGGGTGGGTCATATAGTAGTAAAGAAATTTATACAGCTTGGAAAATAGATTTTTTGTTTTTTGTTTTTGGGGGTTTTTTTGTTTGTTTTGTTTTGTTTTGTTTTTGCTTTGCTTTGCTTTGCTTAGTTTGGGTGTGTAGCGATACATGGCTGTGAAAATAAAGATTTCTGATGTTTTGCTAGTTTGGGAAGAATATCTGAGTGTTTCTTTCTTGGCATATAAATTCCATGTGGAAGAACTGTACCCAGCCTGGCATATAAATATTGTATTTATATATAATGTAAGTGTTGACTAGCCCTCCCAGGGAGCTTTCTAATGAACTCGTATTTAAGTTGACCAACCTTCAAAAATTTGAAGGAGGGGAGCACATCCCCTCAAAGGGCTGCAAATGGCCAGTGTGGATGCCCTCATATGAAACTTGAGATAAATTATTACGAAAGCTTAAAGTCCATGGAAAATTTTTATATGTATATTTCAAGTGGAAAGAACATGATTTCTCCAGGGAGGAGAATGAATTTCAAAACAAAGAAAGTAAACCAAACAATTAACAGGTATTTGCCACCTAACATATGTGATTGATTCTCCTTTATATGAAGCCAAGACTTCAAACCCAAACAAATTATAGTCTAGGGTGTTGTATAACTCAGGGCTTGAAATAATTTCCAGATGGTTCCTCAAAGCCAAATTCAGGTATTACAAAAGAGCCAGAAGGAGAGATTCTAGAAATTATAGAATATAAGAATCCCCCCCACTGACACACACACCCTGGAAAATAAATTCTAGGGAAATTATCTAGAAGAGAAAGTTTGAGCACATTTATAATTTTTTAAATGTTTTGATCACAAGTATGCAAAGTGGTTTTCCAAAGAATGTGTGGACAAATTGCTTTCATTTAGTCCTATGAGAGAATTTTTGGATTGACAGATCAGAGAACTACTGTGGTTTTGGGCAAAATACTTGGTAAAGTATCTGATGGTAAATGATGACTTGTGGGTTGGGAAGTAGCAATATGAGATGTATTCACAAGTCTGATTACCATTCCCAAGAGTTATATAAATGTGAAACCAGAGGGATAAATCTATGTCATAGATGAGAGTCTAAGTATAGATGAGAGTCCCTGGTTTCTACCCTTGGTCCCCTTCACTTCCTCAGGTTTTATCAATGACTTAGAAGAGGACATGGGAGGTGGGCTTATCAGATTTGCAGATGGCACAAAGCTGGAAGGAATCATTAATATAATAGATAGATAGCCGAATTGAAATTCACAATGCTCATAAGCTGTACCCAAACCAAAAAATGAAACAGAGTCAGGATGATAATTAAAAACTGTCACTTCATTATTTTTTAAAAATTGATTGCCTAAGTTCCTGAGACAAGATCTCAGTTTTGTGGCAGTTTATGTGAAAGACATCTGGTTAATATAGTTGACCTGGAGCTTAACACGGACTCACAGTTTCAAGTTGCTGCTAAATAAGCTCATCTAAATTCAGGCTATATTTAATGAACATGTTTAGATTTGTATTTTTGAAACTGCATTCCAAGGAGTATTAGATACTCTGAAGTTTTGGGAAATGTTCCATGAAATAAAAGGGATTAGACTCTGTGGTCAATTGTGCTTGGGGAATTCTGCATTAAACAAAAACAAAATTTCGATGCTGGCTTCTCAGTACCATTATGTGCTAAGATGCATGGTGAATGGATAAAAGGGTCTATAAATACAAAATATTTCAAATATAGTTGAACTCAGAACCCCTTCTCTGCAGAACATCATCACTGGAACATAATTTGGGAAATACAGCTTGAAAATTTGGGAAGTCATAGTCCCCTTGTACTCTGCTTCATTAAACTGCAGCTCAAGGAGTGCATTCCAGTCTTGGTACCACATTTAGAGAGAAGATGGCAAAGCATAGGGTCTAGAAGAAGGCAAAGAGAGTTTAGAAGCCACGTTTAGTATGGAGAGGAGACGTTGAAGAGCAGACATATGCCTGTCTATGCCTTTCTGGAGGCAGAACTTGGACCAGGGACTGAACTTTGCAGGAGGTTCCTTTGGAAGTAACATAAATTTCTCCTGACTGGAGCTATGCATCCATGTGAAAAAGCAAACACCCATAACCGAGAGACCGTCCACCGAACATCTGAGGAAAGGATCCCCCAGTTTAGGTGGAACTCGGACAGATTGATCTCTCAGCTCTCTTTCGGATTTGGGAGTCCATGACTCAGTGCCTATGTCCTAGGTACCTGGGGCTACGTTCACCTGCCTATGGTGGAAGCAAAGCCAGGCTGTAACCGGCTCATCTCCGCAGGGCTTTATGGTGCTCTTTGGGTGTAGGAACCACCACTGAGCCTTCTCTCTGTCTGCTGCCCTCTTGTCCTTACTCCCCGCTACCCCCCATAAATGATGGTCATTGGAACCTACAGGTGGCCTAGACAGCTCAGCCTCTTCCCATTCAGAAAAGGGCTGTGCCGTCCTAGGGCCACGCCCATGCACACTCTTTCTGTCCCTCTGCAGGTCTGGGGAGCACCCAGCCTCTCTTCAGCCTGGACGCCTGTCAGGGGATCCTGGCCCTGCTGGATGTATCTTTTCAGGTTTGTGGCAGGAGGCATGCTGCTGCTGGTGCAGAGCCTCGCACTGGGCCATGCTGCCTGGGTTTGAATCCCAACCCAAGCGCTTCGTAGTCGTGTGATCTCAGACAAGTCACGTAGCCTGGTTGTGCCTTCAGGCCCTCATGTGCAGCGTGGAGATGCTATTAAAAGCTACTCTGTAGTATCAGTGGGAGAATGCACAGAGCAGTGACTATTAGCTATGAATAATAAGAATCTTATTTGCCGGCAGTGAGGATGAGGCGGCTGCAGGGGGTGGTGGTTAGGAGCAATCCTCTGGGTAACAAGAAGCTGTTCCAGGAGCCTCAGGCTCCCGACTTTTGCGATTGGCGACCAGGCAGTGCAGGAAATCAGAGGTCAGTAAGCTCAGTGGCATGCCACAGACTCTGCTTTCCTGGCTCTCAGCCCTGTGATGTTTCTAGCAAACCCTCTGCCTTTCTGAGTGGACAACTTAATCACAGTTTAATTATCCACGGTACAGAGGGGCACGTAGAATGGAGAGTGTGGGGTGGGGGTTGCAAATATAAAAGCTGTCTTTGAAGAAACGTTGCAGAAGACAGCGTGCGGCGGTGGGCAGGTGTGCTGGCATCGGAGGAGGTCCCAACCTTACCACCGGCTGCGTGAACCTCAACAGGAGCATCCTCTCTGAGCCCCCATTTTATCATCCGTTACAGGGGGAGAGTGAATGCCTACCTCACCTAGGAGGTGAAAATGAAGTGATGTAGGACAAGCGTGTAACTCGGGCTCAAAGAGAGGTGTGTGTGGTGGTATGTTGACCTGGTCTCCCTGATGCAGAGGTGTTTGGACATGATACGATCTACAAGGCCAATCATTAAGCTTTTAACTTCTTATAAAATGACTAAATATGAGAGCCACCCTGGGACAGACTCCTTCCAGAAGTTGGTTTTAACAATAACGGGGAGAAAAAGTTACTGTTTTTTACTTAAATCACGTCAAATTGGCTGTGTCAAAATATCCTTTCTCGCTGAATGTTAGCTGCTGTTGTCACCAACATCCCCTCCATCATCAATCTTCTCCCAGTGCAGCTGTGTTTCTGGCTCCTTCTGTCCCTTCCTAGCAAGGGCGAGGGAGCCCTGGGCTGGACTGACCAGCCAGCAGAGGCCAAGCAGGGCTATCAGACAGGGAGCAGGGCTGTCCACAAATTACACTCTGTTGTGCGGAGGGCCAGTTGCTGCTCCCAGAGGTGTGAATGCAACTCCCCTAGAGGCTTTGACCTTAACCCTCTATCAGCTTAATGCATCCGGTACTGTGAGCATCCAGGAGTTCAGAGACCTGTGGAAGCAGCTGATGCTCTATCAGGTAAGAACAAGTCTTAACCATACCTCCTTGCGGGGGTGGGGGGCAGAGATGGCAGTTCTGCGAAACTGTGTAAGGCACCGCACCTCTTTCAGCCCCGTGTACCCCACTGTTCACCCAGCTGCTCTACCCTCCCTTCAGTGCGCCTGCCTTCCCTCTCTCCCAAACCCAGTCTGTTGCCACGGCCTCCTGGATTTCTAAAGTGCATGTCTGATGATGTCGCTTCTTACTGAAAGCTTTTTAAGACTCCCCATGGTCGTCGGATAAGATCTGAACTCTTTAGCATGGCAATTAAAGTCCTGCATCGGTTGGCTTCTTTCTATTTTTCCAGTTCTTACTCACCACTATCCCCCTTGTCTCCTGAGTCCAAAAGCTGGCAGCCCTTCAAGGTTTGGAGAATGTGCCTAAGTCAAGTACATTTGGCTATACCCAGGCTGTCTATCCGCATGGCAAAAAACCACTCCATATCTCAGAAGCCCGGACCCTCTGCCTATTCTTGTCCTGGCAGCAGGCCCTGCTGGCGGGGTCTCACGCTGGCAAGGGTCCACTGCTGTATGGACGCTGGGGCACGGAGGGGCTCTCAGGTGGTGCTTGGACACGCCTGGTTCCTGAGCCTTTGGTGTGGTTCTTCACAGGAGGTTTTCCACAAGCACAACAGTAACCAGTCGGGATACCTGAACAGGACTCAGCTGCGGGCCGCCATGAGGGACGCAGGTAGGCACAGGCTGAACAGGGGCTGCTAGCCACACCCTCGCCAGGCTGGGAGGGCAGGGGGTGCATCACTTCTGAAGTAATTCTAATGTGTGGAGTTGCTCCCAGAGGCCCGAAGATGTGGATCTGCAAATCACGGAAACATTTATTATCACTCTCACTGTGGTCACAGGCGACATTACTGAGGGCTGGAGCATCCATGCTCTCGTTTAATCACCCACGCCGAGTGATAATCCCCACTTTACAGAGAAGTTACAGCTCAGAGAAGTTAGGTAACTTGTCTGGAGCCTGAATCCAGGACTACCAGGCCCCAAAGTGGATGTTCTTGACCACTCTTGAGCAGACTGCCTCCTGCCTTGAAGGTCAGGATCCCAGTCGATAAAAAGATCCTCATGCTGGTGGCCTAAGGGGCAAGAATGGGGAGTCGAGATGGAGATAAAGTTAATGGACTAAATAATTAAACAACCCATACTGAACCCCATAAAAGAAGACCCCCGTGTTATCAGGATTCAGGTCCTGCAAGGGGAGGGAGCTGAAGGGGCCTCAGGTGGCGGGGAGGGGGCATGAGGTCCCCAGCACCCACGGCCGGAGTCTGTGTTCCATGCAGGAATCGTGCTCAGTGATGATGTCTGCCTGCTGATGCTTATCCGGTACGGCGGCCCCAACCTCCAGATAGACTTCGTCAGCTTCGTCCACTTGATGCTGCGCGTGGAGAACATGGAGGGTGAGCTGGTGGGAAGGAGGCAGGGCCAGAGGTCCCTCCGCACTCCTTGTGGATTGTCCACCTGTCCCCAGTTCAAGCAGGAGGGAGGACAGCAGCCGTTCAGGAGCTATGGGGCACGCTGGCTCTGTGCCTGAGAAACCCGGCTGCATCGCTCCAAGCTCATGTACACCCCGCCTGTCCCAGGGGCAAAGGCCTGAGGCAGCTCGCTTACCCTTGTAAAGTGTGGCCACCTGGGGCTGAAACCAGGTTCCCAGGCGCGGGGACGGAGGGGAGGAACTGGTCGTAATGTTTCCAGCACACGTTAGCTGTGTTCCTTTCTGCTGCATTTTTACAGATGCCTTCCAGAACTTAACCCAAGATGGCAAAGGGATATACCTCCAGAAGCCAGAGGTAAGCCTTTGTCCATGGGGTGGACTCACATCATCTTAGGCAGAGGGGGCCACGGCAGGTCCAGGCTCTTGTGAAGGAGCAGGGTTCTGGGGCCTTCATTCTACTGAGTTGGGGATGTAGACCTGCATTCACTGCACTCATCCGTTCATTCGTCCACTCTTTACTGAGCACTCAGTCTGTGCTGGGTGCATAGGCAGGGACCTAGACCCTGACTCAGTGGACCCAATCACTGTGACCACAATAATGCCATGGAACAAATCCACCCAACTTCAGCTGTGACAACAATACTCACTGAGTTCCCCAGTTACATGTTTGGGAGTGAGTGTGTCTCCGCTGGCTGGCTTGTGATTGGTGGGTGAACTGGGAGCTTTGCTGGAGTACCTTCATTGAGGAAGCTCTGGCTAGGCTGGTCTCATTGTCTCCGGACAATGGCAGAAGTACAGGGGAGCGAGCTTACACATGCAGGGCCTCCCAGATCAGGCACTTCGTACTCTGCCACTCATTCTGTTGTCTGAAGCAAGTCGCATGGCCAAGCCCACTTCCAACACTTGGGGAAATAGGCACCTCGAAGTCACTTGCAGAGGGCATGGACACAGATTGGGTGAAGACCCAGGCCAGCAATGAACTCCAGCACAGACAGTAATAGGGGACCTGGTCTGAATAGGGCATTTCACAGAGGCATTTCTGGAGGAGGTGACATCAAAGTTGAAACCTTGATGATCAGAAGGAGCCAAGGAGGCAGAGTGGAGAGTAGCAAAGGCTCAGGCTAGAGGGAACAGTGTGTGCGGTCCTGGCTAGAGTAGAGAGAATGACAAAACTGGCTCAAGGTGAGTCTGAAAAGATCAGGGTCAGATCTTTCTCAGGAGCTGGCCTAGCCTTTCCCCTATGGCCTGGGATTCTGATCTTGTGTGGGTAGCCTCTTCTTGAACCTCATATAGTGGTTCACATGTAATAGGAGCTTGACAAATGTTTGTTGAGTGAATGAGATGATATGCTGATAAGACAAATCTGTGCCTGATACTGATGGTCTTCCCCAATGAGTCAAACCCCGTGGATTTACTGAGCACCTACTACATGTCAGATGTGGCACTAGGTAGAGTTTGCTGCAAAGACATTGGAGTCTGGAATTAAATTATCTGTTCTTTCTTCGTAAAAATACATCCTCTGTTTGGGCTGCTTAAAAAGGGTCTAGTGAAAGCTGAGGTTTCTTCATTGACCTCAAATGTCCATTTTATGTAATATCTTTCCAAGATATTGGGATCCTCAGTATGTGTCTTGCCTCAATCACAGTCATATTTGAATGTGAAGACAGGATTCACCTGGAGGGGAAAAGGTTAGAATCTTCTGAGCCCATTTCCATCTCAGATCCCCAAGCTCACATGCTGATTCCAAGCAGTCCCTCCATAGTGCAATCTCAGAGCTGGGAGAGCAGGACAACATGAACGTGCAGTTGAAACAGGGCAGCCCACAGCCCGAGCAGGCTGCAGCACTGCAATGTGCCATCATGGGACGAGAACTGGACTGAGACCCGAGTTGAACCCGCAGCACTGCTTGTAACTAGCTGTGGGACCCTAGGCGACTCAACTTCAATATATCTGGGCCTCAGCTTCCCCACATGTGAAATGAGTGAGCTGGTTCTCTAAGATCCTCTTCAGCTCTGACCATCTCTGGCTCCATGAGAAGGAGATCCTCAGGGCCATCCAAGGAAGTTTGTAGGGAGTGGCAGCCAACTTGTTGGAATTTCACGCTGGTTTTCTCTGATGCCATTGGTAACTCCATCATTGTCATCTTCATCACCAGCATCAGCAGCAGCAACATTCTGATGTAATTGGCCTGAGGAGTGGTTTCTCCAGAGGTCCCCTCTATTCGAGTCAGAGGGTCTGTTCATCACACCCACATAAAGCTGTCAGACAAATGGGCCCATAAATGTAAACACGTAGAATATGCTCTAATGGATTTCTGCTACCCAGTTGGTCCACACACCTGCACACTGATGTCATGAGAATGCCAAATTGAATTCATGGCAGAAAATTGCATTGATTGTTGAATACAGAATCAGCCAGTATCTTGGGTATCATCATTCACCAGCACCATGAGAAGTCAAGGTTGATTATATTTCAGGTTGATTTATACTTACTACCAGATGGTGTGGTCCCTCTGGCTAAACCATCCATTACTGTCCTGTCTCCATGGCTTCCCAGGAACAAGGGGGAGGAGGTCCCAAGTCCTGTGTCAGGCTCCAGGGTCTAGTGACCAAAAAATGAATCACCCCTTAGCTGGATGTCAGAGGTCTGCCTGAACTGACCGTAATTTGCTTCCCCATTATGTCCAGTGGCTGATGATGACTCTGTACTCCTGAGAAGGCTGGGGCCCTGTCTGCCTTCACCGAGGATGCTGCATATGGCTCAAAGGTAGCCTTCGGCTGAGACCAATCCACACTCAACCCATTTACCGTTCTTCAGGACCATGTCTCCAGTCATCATCATCTCAGCTGGGAAGTTTTCTTTTCTGCAGATCTCCCCTTCAGAGGCAGTGTGCAAAAAGGGAAAGGAATTAGCAGAGACTGCCTTGGACTTGTAAAGACCAACTGTCATTCTCAGGGCACAACCTTTTCACAAGCAGAGATGTTACCTGATGTGACCTAAGCAATCTGACTCCAGAATTGGTGTCTCAACCTTTAACAATACTGCCTCCATGGCTGTCCAACTTAAATGACCTTAGTTGAATGTTATCCCATTTGGGGTAAGAGTCTAGGTTTTAAGATCTGAAGAGGGACTAGTATGTCCTTAAACAACTGCATCAGCTTCTAGAAATCAGTGGATTCAGGCTAAATTTCAACTGTGTGGAGGTGGGGTGGGGCTATATTGAGCTTTCAAGAACACAGAAAATGAGAGGATTGGCAGAGTCCAGGTGGGTTGGGCTGGCTCTGGCATTTGAGGTCACTGGATGGTCTTCTGCTACAGTATCTCCAGATGGTTGAATTTGGGGCCGGAACCAGTGGATTTAAAACACCTGAATTCTCCAAGAGCTTCCTGCATATAATAGGTGCCAATCTGTTTACTTGACCTATGGACTATCAGATCCATTTCAAATCAGTCCCCAAAGCCTCTGTGTGCCAACTTTAAAGAAGAACAACCAATCCATGCTATATCATAGAGCTAAGCAGTAGATGGTTGGTATCTCTGATTTTTTGAACTACCATGCTGCCTAAGTTTCACAGCATCCCTCTCAACCCAGAACCTGGAGGAAAACCAGGATGAAGACCATCTCCCAAAGTCCATACATTTTATTCACAGGTTAGCAACTCAGAGCCATTTGTTAAAATTCTATTTATTCTTGATTTCCAAACTGTTCTAATAGACATGACTGTCTGGTTTCCAAACCCATAAAAGACTAAAGGAGGAAGCTGAATGATGGGATAAAAGGGTGTCCATTGGCAGAACAAAAGGAAACTTGACAGTCTGATAAATGGGCACTGAAGAAGGAGCAAACATTTTCTAAGCATGGCTCAAGGAAGTAGAAAAGTATTTTACTTAGAAAAAACTTTATTGATTCCAAATGATGAAATGTAAAATGGTTTTCCATAAAGTTTCAGGCACATAAGGTATTACTGTTTTTATAAATGATGATTATGTGTTATAGGCAAGATTTTTATGTCTATTTATTTGTCAGTATCTCTGTCTTTAGATTCTGCCATTGTAAATATTTGTTTTAATTAAATAGCTATTGCTTTGGTCCCACGAAGGCAGTTTGGAAGATTTTTGGGGGTGGGAAGGTGATACCATCATCTGGTTCATGACCCTTGGACTACAGTGTAATAGTTTTGGTTGGTGCCGATGACATTTATATCGAGGTTAATTAAGTCTGATAGAACCTCCCTTCTAGCTTCTCAATGGTCTGAACTGCCCTCCTATGTCACTCATGTGTTACCCTCACTCGCCTGAGTCTATCACTGTGGTAACTCAGATGCCCCACGCCATGCTGACCTCCTCCTCCATTCCTTCCAATGCCCCCCAATGCTGGGTCCTGGAGACCAGGGGCAGAGCTGTTTTCCCACCCAAACATCCCTTCCCCATCCTCTGTCACTCCAGGCAGTGTGAGGCAAGTAAAGATCTGGGACAGGATGGACCGCACAAGGGTCAAAGTGAGGTCAGGCTGAAGGTCTGAGAGGTGGACATCTGCATTTCCTGGAAGTTAAAAGCCAAAGGTTGGATCCTGACCGAGACAAGCAGATAGTGTGCAAACCCAGTGAAGGATTAGCAAGGAATCGGTCCTCAGGTGCCAAAATAGGTGAGGTCAGGGAGTCTGGGAGGTTGGGTTGTCCACCCATCCAGCGTAAGCAAGCTGAGCATGCCAGGCTGAGCACACCAGGCTGAGCACTGGCGCAGGCTTTTAAAATCTCAGGAAAAAAAGAAAAAAGACCCTAACTGGTGAAAAGAAAAGGACGGTTGCAAGAGAGGACTAAAATACCTGCCCTTTCTTTACCCCTCTTTTTTCTCTTTTCTTCTCTCATGTTTTGTACAAAAACTCAGCCACCAAAGGAACCTTCTAGATTCCAGCTGGAGCCTGGGGCAGGGCAGTCAGCAGCTGACTGTAAATAGCACTTCTTCCCTGCCACTGTCACGCTGGGTTAGAGAAATGATTTTAGCCTCTGGGATTCTCAATCTGATGTTTCCCCAATGAAATATCTGCATTTATATTTATAATGGGAAAAAAGGAGGAAATGAGTTTCATGGGTCATGGGTAGGTCAAAGTGGGCCAGCTGTGCTGGGCTTAGTTTTGGAGCAGGCTGTGTGCCCGGTTCTCAGGGAGCTTTGGAAAGATGGCCATCTGGGGTTGCTGGCCCCAGGTCCTGAGTCCCATCTCTTTTCCAGTGCCCTGAGGACCCAGGGGTACAAAATCCAACAGCAACGAAAGTGAGGAGACATTGGGAAGGAACATTCTAGCTGGATGACATTGGGCCTCAGTTTACTCACTTGTAAAATGGAGCCCAAAACGTCTACATCACTGGGTCATTATGACAATAAATAATGCCAGCATACTGTAGGCACTCAATAAATAAACCGTGTCCTTTTTCCCCTAGGCAGTGAAAGTATTTTTTACAACCATCATAATTTATTTTCATTTTTGTTTCTAAGAACATCGTCCCTCATAGTGACGGCTCTTCGTAAGTACCCAGGATTTCATGGTCCATTTCTACTTTCCTCTTCCTCCACGTCCCCTCTCTGAACACTTCACACCATGTCTTTGAGGTGTGGCCCCAGGAGGACTGCGCCAGTCTCCGGTGTCAGGGACTCAGCTCCGGGGACCTCTGAGAAAGTGGCCGTCTGGCTATGAAAGGTCCTCTTCTGTCAGGCAGACAGCGGCTCTGCGCTCTGCTCACCTGGGGCCTCGGGAGCAAAGGGGGTTTGCGCATCAGAGTCCAGGTTGCTAGCTGGCGGTTTCCTGGACCACCGACTGGGCGACTTCTGGGAGTGTCTTCTGTGAGACTGCAGGCTGGCCGGCACTGACTCCAGAAGCTCCGCTGGGCAATTCAGTTGCGATCTAGAGCTGACCTTGCCGTGAGAAGGCGTGGCACGGCCCCTGGCTTGTGGACTTCTGTCCTCTGTCCCGATGGGCTTGCGGGCTAACCCGGCTGGTCAGCAGGTGGGGAGGCCCGCCGGGCAGTGAGCTTTCCTCTCATCCCTCTGTCCATCCAGCCACGCAGCCAAACGTTCAGCGCTCTGCGGGAGGACACCTGGCCGCCTTCTGCAGTGGGTCAGGCACTGTGCTAGGCCCTGGGGACCAGAGTGACAGTCTTCCGGGGCGGCAGATGACTGGCAGGTGGCCTAGCACTGTGACACGGTGGGGGTGAGGTGGGGCAGGGCTTCTTGGGAGATGATGCTTAGTAAAGAGGCTAGGAACTAGAAACTAAGGGGAGGGGCGCCTGGGTGGCTCAGATGGTTGGGCGTCTGCCTTCGGCTCAGGTCATGATCCCAGGGTCCTGGGATCGAGCCCCACATCGGGCTCCCGGCTCAGCGGGGAGCCTGCTTCTCCCTCTGACCCTCTCCCCTCTCATGCTGTTTCTCTCTTGCTCGCTCTCTAAAAAATAAATAAATAAAATCTTTAAAAAAAAAAAAAGAAACTAAGGGGAGAACAGCAAAGTTCCCCACGGAGGGTATTGCACGGGTATGTGTGTGTGTGTGCGTGCGTGTGCGTGCGTGTGTGTGTAAAAGACCGGAGTTAGGGATGGAACGGTATGTTTGGAAAGCATCCAGTGGGTCAGGGCAGCAGAGCTTAGCTCTGTTCGAGGGGGCGGCGTGGGCCCAGGTGGCCCAGGTAGGCGGTGGCCAGGGCCCTCTGAGCTCCGTCACGTCACGGCATCCGGGTCCTCTCCTGGGGGGCCGAGGCATCCCCCCAAGGACTTCAGACCTGGGCCTGAGACGTTCAGACCCTTCCTCCCCACCAGCAAAGCCAGGAAGTCAGCGGTGTGTAGACAACGACCTGGGAGTCAGACGGAAGAACTGAGTTCAAATCCCTGCCCTAGTTCACCCTTCTGAATCTCCACAGCATCGCTGATAAAATGGCGAGAGCAACACTCACCTCACAAGGTGAGTCTCGTAAGATAACATACCAGCATTTCTGGCATTTCTGGCTTTCGGCCTTGCCTGTGTGAAGTGTGAACTCCACCCGATTTCCCCGCCAGCGGTGGGCGCCTTTATTCCCGCATTTGTGGCATGTGCTGAGGCTGTTCCAGCACTAGATGGCGCTCTGTCCCCACACAAGGGCTCCCGCCAACGGACTGGCCGGGGGACAGCTTCAGCCCTTCGCCGGGGCAACTGGGTGCTTTAGTGCCCTGCCCGCCTGACTCAGCTCAAAAGGCCAGCGTCAGCCCCATGCAGGCTCGCTTTCCTTTCTTGCTTCTTTGTTTCTGCTTAGTGTTTAATGGATGCTCTGTACTTTGTATTATAAACACTGTCCTTTAAGTAATGTATAGCTTTTTTGTTTCTGAAAAAAGCAAAACTGTGTTTTGAAGCCCTTATTGTAAATGCATCTCCTTGAGATACAACCATGCCCAGGCCACTCACCCATGAGCCCCAGGACCTAGCTTAGCACCTAGCTTAATGCTGAGCTCATGTTTGGGGTTCACTGAATGAATGAGCAATTTTTGAAGTAATTCAGGTGAATCCTGTCAGGAAAAAGTCAGTGCGTATTCGAGATGCTAACCGAAGATGTTAGCATATAAGGGTTGCTTAAAGAAACAACGATTTGCCTCTGAAAGGGTCCTTTTGATGTGGCTCAAGCTAGCTTACTCTGCTGCCCTGCACCGTGCCCTGATCCCAGGGGCAGTTCAAACCACCGTTCAAAAACTCATCAGACTCTCCCTGAAGACATTCTTCTTATTTTGACATTCCGGGGACTTGGACATCATTTTCTCTTACATATTCAGAATTCATCCTCCTAGAAGCATTAACCATCTGGGTCAAGTTCCAGAGCCTTTTACTCTCCGTGGAAGCTGTGTGAGCAGTAGGAGGTAGCTGGTCCTGGGCCAGACCCAGACTGAGGTGAGGCCAGGTGGGTAAGTCCTCATCTCCATCCTCAGCTTGCTCAGCCTCTCCTGCTTGCAAAAGCAAAAGAGGCCAGAAGTGGTGTAGCCCAGTGCAGGCAGGGTGGGTGGTGGAAGGCTCAGGCCTCACCTTGTCAGGGAGTCTGGCTGTATTTTATTCCCCTGACCAGCTGTCCATGGGGCTGTAGATGAGTTCCCTAACTTCTCAGTTCAACTATTTTAGGAAGTTACGTATGCAGTTGGAGGAGATTGGATTGTATAACTTCTAAATCTGCCTCTGGCTGGACATAACAGATTTGCAAGGGCACAGGCTGGTCTTAAAAAAAGATGCCTACTTGAGTCCAACTCTACTATATCCTGGCCTAAGTTACCTTCACAAGTCACCAAGTGTTCATATCTACAGTCCAGAGGATGCCCTGTGGATTGCATGAGATCACACACTTGAGCTGCTCGGCACAGAGCCGGGCCTCCCCTGTGCCCTCTCTACTAGGGGAGAAGCTAAATGGTTTCTGAACCAGGGCAAAGCAGAGGCCGCAAGGCTCTGAAGGCTGAGACCCGAGCTTCCATTCTGCTTGGAAAACATTTCTTGGAAAGCTTTCAGACAAAAGATCCAGCTCCCAGATTCATTTTCGTTTTGGCTGAATGAGAGGATCGAAATGATGATTGTCT